TGCATTGATATGGACAAATTACCACAATGTGTTACTATGTTCCATTTGATGTCTGACCCAGTTGTCAAACTTGTGTTCCAATTTCTCATTCCGCTTGTCCTTACATTTGATCCCTTGTACAGAAGTTGAAGTATACATCAACTGAAACATGTTTTTTTATTGTTGTAGTGCTGCATAGTATCTGATATTTTGGATGTTATTTGGGAATCAAAAAAATATGTAGACGTATCACTCAAAATGATCCTAATGAGTATCCATGGTTGATGTGCAAATCAGATCAAAAAAGTGAACACACAAAACTAGTTCCATTAAGAAATGGAAAACTGGTATGCTACTAAGTAGAGAAGGAATTACATGGGAATGTAGGGCATATGTTTGTAGTCCTTGTCCCTATAAAGTTTAAAGAATTTCACGATATAGCTTTTTAAGCTCTCGCTATCACCATGTTGGTCCCGGGCAATCACCTGATTCATGAAATAATTTTCTATGTTGTGTGAATGTTAGTAAAATTATCAAGCTTCAGGATGAGACAACTTGCATCCAACAATAAAGAGGGACTATATAAATAAAATAGAAGTTCGGTCTGCAAACAGTAATCACTGCTGGCCCATCATGTAGTATATATCTCCAGTTTTCTTTCTTTTCGTTATGGTATTGATTTACATGTGTTCATGCATTATTCTTCCTATAAAATGATTTGTATAGATATACGTGCCCACTACATAAAAGGAAAATATTGATATGATTTAAGTATAGGATGTATTTTTATTTAATATCTATACCTTTGTTTTCTTCTTGTTTTTTGTAGCTAGAGTACATGCATATACTCTGATTGAGATGCTTGCATGCTACTTATATATGTTAGATCAAATTAAAAACTATGGTTAATTAATGTTTGCATAGAAACTTAGGGATGAAATTGTGATGTAGAGTGAAGAGAAAATCCCACCTCGGAGTTCAATCACGGGCTGAAGCCTTTATTTATTTATTTTTCTTTCCACATGGGATTAATGCTTTTGTATTAGCCTTGTCCTTCTTGTTTTTCCACTCTGTACAGGTAGAATACTTTTGAAATTTTAAAATACATAGAGTAGGGAAACATATTGTCATTCCTCAAAAACTAATGCAGGCAAAGCATATGCACCTGCAGATAGCTGTAGCAGGTTATGTGGCAACATGAGTGTGCCATACCCATTCGGCATTGGCTCGCACAAGTGCTATCTGCCAGGGTTCAACCTCACCTGTGACACAAGCTACAACCCCGCACGACTGATGCTCAGCACTCTTCAAGTTGTTGACATCTCCCTCCACAATAGCACCGTGCGAGTCATCAACAGCAACCGAGTGCATGGCATCTATGGCGGGGTAGCCAGTGTTAATGTTATCAATTTTGGGATTAGCCATGGAGACAATGTGCCCTACACGTTATCAACTCGCAATGAGCTTATCGTCATTGGCTGCAGGGTGCAGGCAGGGTTGTCCAGTGCTGGCAATAACCGGGTCATCCTTAGTAGTTGCTCCTTCTTCTGCTCCTCAAACAAGAGTAGAGCCTATGATGCAAGGTCATCTCCCAATATCGATGACAACGGTGAGTACTGCTTCGGCAATGGATGCTGCCAGGCCCAGATCACCATGTCTAGGGACGGCATGCCTAGTGAATTCTGGATTGATTGAATGGACCCCAATAGCGTATGGGATGAGGCATTGCCGCATTCATACGCACTCATTGCAGAGCAAGGGTGGTTCAACAAGCATTGGGTCTACTCCCAGCTGTCACGGTCACTGTCAACAAAATATCTTGCTCCTAGGTTGGAGGTTCAAATTGTTCTAGACTTGGAAATATTGCAGTTGCAACCTATTAACTCACATGCACCAGCCAATGTGAGTTGGCATCACCAGTATGCCATGTGTCCCGGCATCTGTAGGAGCAAGAATAGCCTCTGCAAACCAAGGATCAGAGGTTATTCGTGCCATTGTAGTGACGGTTACGACGGCAACCCTTACACCGCGGATGGATGTAAAGGTTAGCATGGAAGCATCTCGCACACATACGCGAGCTTAATTTGCATTATTGCTTATCTATACTATTATATATTCTAATTTTATACTCCCTCCCTTTTTTCTTGTCTCCTCTAGGCAGTCGCCGCAAACAGTTTAAAGGTGAGAAACACTGCAACGTTTTTGCTATATGTACTATGGTCCATGTAGAACAATAACATGTAACTATATTGTGTATACTTTCAGGTACGAGCGCCGTTGTAGGAGTTGTTGTTGCTGCAGCTGGAGTCGTACTTCTGTTTCTGCTTGGGTTGTTGATTATGAAGAAAATAAAATACGAGAGGGCTAAAATGTTAAAGCGCAAGTTCTTCAAACAAAATCACGGACAATTATTGCAATAGTTTGTATCCCAAAGTGCTGGTATTGCAGAAAGGATGATCATAACCTTGGAAGAGCTAGAGAAGGCAACACATTGTTTTGATAATGATCTCGTCATTGGAGGTGGGGGACATGGTATTGTTTACAAAGGGATTTTATCGAACCAACATATTGTAGCCATCAAGAAACCCAAAAACATGGTGCGGATGGAGATCAATGAGTTTATCAATGAGGTAGCTATCCTATCACAAATCAACCATAGAAATGTTGTTAAACTATATGGTTGTTGCCTTGAAACTGAAGTCCCAATGTTGGTCTATGAGTTCATATCTAATGGAACCCTTTACGAGCATATTCATGTAGAAGGACCAAAATCATTGTCTTGGGATAACAGGTTGCGGATAGCCATTGAGGCAGCAAAATCCCTAGCATATCTTCACTCGGCTGCTTCAATCCCTATAATCGATAGGGATGTCAAGAGTGCTAACATATTGTTGGATGATACTCTGACGGCAAAGGTAGCAGATTTTGGAGCTTCAAAGTACATTCCGATGGATATATCTGGGGTTACCACAAGGGCACAAGGTACGAGAGGATATTGGGATCCTATGTACTTTTACATAGGCCGATTAACTGAGAAAAGTGATGTTTGCAACTTTGGAGTCGTCCTTGTGGAACTGCTAACCCAGGCTGCCGACCTGGAACCTATCCCCTGATCGAAGAAGAAGAAGAAGAAGAAGAACTCCGAAACAAGTAACATCGCTCTCGCGTCATGATCATCGCATAACCTTTACCTACAACTGTTGTTGTAGTAATCTGTGATCCAGGAGGACTCAGTAATCCCATTACCATGGGTATCAAGACTAGGAAAGCTTAATGGGTAAGGAAAGGATAAGTGGTGAGGTTGCAGCAGCGACTAAGCATATATGGTGGCTAACATACGCAAATAAGAGCGAGAAGAGAAGCAATGCAACGGTCGAGAAGCTAGAAGTGATCAAGAAGTGATCCTGAAAGTACTTATGTTCATACATAACCCAAATCGTGTTCACCTCTCGGACTCCGCCGAGAAGAGACCATCACGGCTACACACGCGGTTGATGCATTTTAATTTGAATCTGGTGTCAAGTTCTCTACAACCGAACAATAACAAATTCCCATCTGCCACATAACTGCGGGCATGGCTTTCGAAAGTTTATACCCTGCAGGGGTGTCCCAACTTAGCCCATTATAAGCTCTCACAACCAACGAAGGATATTCCTTCTCCCGGGAAGACCCGATCAGTCTCGAAATCCTGGTTACAAGACATTTCGACAATGGTAAAACAAGACCAGCAAGACCACCCGACTGTGCCGACAAATCCCGATAGGAGCTGCACATATCTCGTTCTCAGGGCACAACGGATGAGCAATCCGTACAACTAAAACCAGACCTCAAGTTTCCCTGAGGGGGCACCGCAAAGGGCTCTAGTTTGGACCAACACTCAGAGGAGCACTGACCCGGGGGTTTAAAATAAAGATGACCCTCGAGTTTGCAACCCCAAGGGAAAGTTATAGGTTGTTAGGCAAATGTAAAACCAAAGTTGGGCCTTGCTGGAGGAGTTTTATTCAAAGCGAACTGTCAAGGGTCCCCATACACCCGGCCGCGTAAGGAACGCAAAATCAAGGAACATAACACCGGTATGATGGAAACTAAGGCGGCGAGAGTGGAACAAAACACCAGGCATAAGTCCGAGCCTTCCACCCTTTACCAAGTATATAGATGCATTAAATAAAAAGAGATATTGTGATATCCCAACATAATCCTGTCCATCATGGAGCAATCTTGGACTTCACCTACAACTAACAACGCTATAAGAGGGGCTGAGCAAAGCGGTAACATAGCCAAGCAACAGTTTGCTAGGAAGGGTGGAAAATGTTAGAGGACGACATGGCAATTTGGGAGGCTTGATAAACAAGTGATAGGTAACGCAGCATAGCGATAGAACGAAGCAACTAGCATAGCAATGATAGTACTGAGGCCTGAAATCCCGCAAGGAAGAAGAACGAGTCCATGAAGAAGACGAACGGGCGAAGATGAACCAAGCTTAGACGAACGAATCCTCACGATTGCAACAAAACAAGAACTATCGAGAAGAAGCACAACCGGAAAGGAGCAAACCACACGGTAAACACACAACACATAAACATGACAAGATGCTCAACCGAGCATGATGCATGACAAAGGCTATATGATGCTACTCATGGTAAGAGATGATGCATACAAGAGCAACACATCAAAGCAAGTTTAAATGAGGCCGGAAACAACATATAACAAACCCGGTAAGTCCTCATATGCAAATTTCGAAATTGGTTCAGATCTGAATAAACCTTATGTTCAAGTTATTAAACAGCAAGTTAAAATGCACCAAGATGATCTACACGAAATTTTAGTCAAGGTACATATAAGAAACAATTCCTTATTTAACACTATCTTAAATTTTGTTTCCTTATTAACACTGAAAAACTCTTTTTTCCCTATCTGACAACGAGTCTAAAATTTTATGCCCTTTATAACACTTTCGTCCATTTTAAGCCTAAATGGTACTTGAAAAGACTCTTTTGCCCCTCATATGATATATGTGTGTGAGGCAGTAGCATACGCACAACATTAGTGGGGCAATAGCGCACACACACATCGGCAGTAGCAAACACGCAACAGCACATACGCACACGCCAAGATGAGTGAAGATCAGTGATTTCCTTGCATTTAGGTGACTTATGTGGCTCTTGAGTTTGCAGTGGACAATGGTACTGCCGGGGGTGGCGACGCCGGGCTGACTCCAAGAACGCGGCGAGGAGCACTGCCGTAGCAGCCTGAGATCGTATCGCCGTATCTTTGGCAACTACCGCTGTGTCTTTGGAAACTACCGCAGTGGATACGTGTGCCAGTGCTAGACACGCAACCATTGTGCAAATGTCTTCTGGCTGAGGTCTCCGGGTGAAAACCTAAGATCTGGCGGAGCTAGATCGGATGACGGCGGTGTTCTCGATACCACTTCCTTCTTGGAGGCGTCATCTTGGAGGCCTCGACGATGGATTTCGATGGTGTGCACGGTTGCTGGCGGATCTTGGGTTTGTGTTGGTGCCGGTTGGTTTCTGTTTTCTTTCTTTTCTTTCCACACTAGCCCTGTTGCGGTGCTTTCCTCCTTTGGAGGTGTTCTTGTTACTCCTCTTCTGATCAATGAATTTGGTAGTCCTTCTGCCAACGTTCAAAAAAAACTACAAGTAGCGATTCACCAAAGGTTTCAAACTCGGGTTGATGTTAGACAACAGTATGAACCCACGTGCTTTCAGTTATTAACTCATCAGCCATGTGCATATGCTTCCTTTAGAAAAATCGGTATAATTTCTTTTTAGAAAGGAGATCTAAAGAATACTCAGAGTGATAAAACATCAGGTTTGTTGAGTACTGCTACATCGGACGGCTCACCAACCTCATCGATTTTTTTATTTTATTTTTTTGCGGGTGAACCTCATCGATGTTTCTCACCAGGAAGTAACCACGTTTTCTTATCCTTTCGAGGATGGTATGGGAAAAAAGTATCCACGTTTTCTATGAGGAAACGACACACGACAGACACACCTGACATTTCACCGCCCCTAGAGTATCTACAACCGGACTTGCCAAATCCGGCATCCTATATGTCCACGGACGCGCCTGGCCGATTCCACGGACATTGACCGGGCAATGCTCAAATCTCTACAACCATGTACCTGATATCCATACGATATCATATATTCATACTAAAGCAGGCGACATGAAACTAAACTAGGTAGATTATCAAACATACATAGAAATGCGATAGCAAACGGACATAGACAACAAATGGACATAGAAATGTACATAGGCCACGTAACTGATCACCGAAAGTGCACCACGATACAGCATACAACAAACGGACGAGCTTTAGACTAAGATTACTAATAACGAAAATAAACACGGAGAGAGAATTGAGCTTCACCACTACCTCATAGGCCCTTTGCCCTTTCGGTCTCTGGCGCTGGTGTAGGCGTTCGGGTAAGCGTCAGCGACACGACGTGGGTTGTGAGAGCCATCGGTGATGTCGGACAAGGAGGAGTCGATGTAGTACTCCATTCTCCGGACAGCACGGTCCTACTGCTTTTTTAGCTTCGCCGCCTAGAGAAACTCCCGCGTGGACTGCTCCAGCCCTAATTGGAGCGCCTTCGCACTTTTCTGACGGAGCTGGCGGGCATCCTTCTCCACCATTGTAAGTGAGCAGCAGTAGTCCCTCGCGAGGAGCCGCTCCATCTCATAGGGCACCGTCGGCATCCCGTGGCAACGGCGGGAGAACTGTGCGATCGCTTCCGCCGGCGCCGTCCTCTCCATTGTCCGCTGCATTTCATGGCGCAGGCGGAGCGGGCACTAACACCCACCATTGCCCTTGAGGAGCAACGGCCAAAGAGTTAGGAGGGCAGCGGCGCCGAGTGGGTGCACCGCGCGGAGCTCTACACGGTGCGGGACGGGCCTGCTCCGGCATCGGCATTGCGGCAGTATGCGACATGGGATGTAGCAGAGACGGAGCTGCCACTCGTGTCCACCCGCGAGCGTTGTTGCGCGATGTTGAAGGCCAGCTCGTCTTCGTTGCCCACCGCATCGTGGAGGAAGGCGTCCCAATTGTCGCCGGATCCGTCGCCTCCA